TTAATGTAATTATATGTTGTAAGTTAAAAAAATTATTATAATATAACACAGGTAAGTTGCACAAATAAAAAAGTGTCATACTAAAAATATAATAATATATATATTTTTATAAAAGGTATTAAATTTTTAATTATTTTTTCTCATTAATTTTATATTTTAAGAAAAAAATTAGCAAATACCCGTGTAATACATGGGCGTTGTACTAGTATATAATATATCAAATTAATCATCTTTTGATGATATTCGATTTGACATCCATATTGTATATATAAAATAAATAAATTATATTTATCTTTATAATAATAAAAAATAATAATATTTTTAAAATTCATTATAAAAATAAAATTATTTTTCAATTGATATATTTATATTTAATGTAGTTATATATTGTAAGTTAAAAAATTAGTATAATATAACACAAGTAAGTCGCACAAATAAAAAATATCATAATAAATATATAATATATATATATATATATATATTCTTATAAAAAGTATTTAAATTTTCAAACTACTCTTTCTCATTAATTTTAAATTTTAAGAAAAAAATTAACAAGCACCCGTGTAATACACGGGTGTTGTACTAGTTAATCATTAAAACCAATACATATACTATGCAAATACATGAGAGCTACCCAAAAAAATAAATAAATAAATCATTAAATGAAACGCAACCTTTGAGTTAGTCTAAACGTCATAAATTGATATATTCAAATATTTTTTTTTTTATTTGTGACTCGTAAAACAGCGACATAAAGTATAATTATAAATTGTCAAAATATGATATTATAAATGATATTTTGACCAAATAATTTATATAACATATTTTTTGTCATAGTGCTTAGTGTAAGAATTAATAATATATTTTGACTATAAACTGTAATTATCCAATGGCCTCATTAAGGGCATTTCTTGACATTTTACACACCACCCACCAAACCTAATTATGTCAGTTGGTCCCACCAACTAACCCTATACACCATTCACAACACTATTTCTCTCTCCCACAAGAAACCAGTTTGTCAATTGCTTTCTCATCGTTGTTGCCGCTCGTCTCGATGAACCAACCTCATGCAATAGCAATTGGGGATCGGTGCGCACCACCCGACAACAGCGAACGGCAACCTCTAGCGAACACACACACGCACACGGATAAAACACACACAAGTCGTCCCCACCTCTCCAACTCCGCCGGCTTTTTATTTCCGTGCAACTTCAGTTCCACCCACAACCGTTCAACGGCGTCCCCTCTTACTATCTCATTGGCAGCCTCGTCGACCTCGGGATGTCCTGGTGGTAGGGCATCACCACCAACGATGTCTTCCTCCTACCACTCATCCTCACCGGCAAAGTCCCAACCATCCGCCGCTGCTACCACCGCCTTCCTCGTCAATTGTCTTGTTCGAATATGCAGTTGCACACTCCCGTCCCACCCTCCGCCACCCTACCATCGTCTTCCTCCTCATTCGTTCCACCCTTCGCCGTCGATATGATCTCAGCACTCCTCGTCGTCTCCGCCCATAGTGACATCGGCGTTGTCC